CTCGTATCACAGGACTTGTATCTACATCGACGACGAATCCTCAGAACTCCAGAAGATAACATGCAGTCCAGTTAAAAACTGGGCAAAAGTTTTGAAGAGACGGCTCACCAAGGAAGATGCAAGGATGACAAACACGGGGACAGATGTTCAGCATGGCTAATACAGATCACAACCGCACACCTATTAGAACGTCAAAAGAGACCCACGCCCGGACTGATGTGCTTTCCTTTGCTTTGAACTTTTTATGTAGCGTTACAGCACATGGAATATCCTATAAACAAATGTGAAGAAAAAGCCAAGAAAATCAGTGGAGATGGTGCCTTAAATGTGTCCCCTCTAAACTTCAGTGCTGCTGGTGTGATAAGTAGTAAGAGGCAGTACCACCAGCTTTAAGAGGTGCCTAAGCCACGAAGCCTCCTCATTTGTGAATGGGATTAGGTACCCTTGTAGAAGGGCTTGATGGGAGGGAGTTTGTCCTGCTTGCCCTTCCACCTTCCATCATGTGAGGACGCAGCGTTCCTCCCCTCTGGACAAGGCAGCCCTCCCGGACAGGAACATTTGAGCAATTTTAAGACAGCATCTCAGTTGTGGACTTCCAGCTTTCAGAACAGTGAGAAATAAACTTCTTTATAAATTGCCCAGTCTCAGGTGCTCTGTTATAGCAACATAAAACAGACTAAGACATGAGGGTGAGGAGCAGGGGGGATTTAAAAGCAAAATATTTTGCCATTCCAGAGATTCCTGTTCACAAATGTAGCAAAGAAAGAAAGCAGTATTATCATCGAATGATCATTAAACCAGACTGCAGTTCACGTTACAGGTAATCCACAGAAAGAAGTCTCACCTTTCTATATAACCAGGCAGGTACAATACATGTTCTGAAGTTAAATAACATGTTCTTATATAAGAGTACTTGACAGCACCATTTGTTTTTTTTTGGTTTTTTTTTTTTTTTTGAGTTGGAGTCTCACTCTGTCGCCCAGACTGGAGTGCAGTGGCCGCTCCCGGCCACCACAGCCTCGACCTGCTGGGCTCTGGCGATCCTTCCGCCTCAGCCTTCCACATAGCTGGAACTAGAGGCGCTAACATGCCCGGCTAATTTTTTGATTTATTGTAGAGATGGTCGTGAACCCACAGGCTCAGGCAATCCACCCACCTCAGCCGCCCAAAGGGACAGCACCATTAGTTGTACATAATTTATTCTGAATTCACATGGTAATTGGGATGACTGTATTTGTTAGGAAAAAATAAAAACTTCTGTCTTTATGATGAGAAGGTAGTTAAATTTGAGACAAGGTACCTAAGCTAACCTCCCACAATGACTGGGAGACAGGTATGCTGTCTTCCTTGAGGTTTACATTTCAAAGACAGGGCTCCCAGGCTTATCAGAGAAACATACCTGGCTTGTAAAGCTGGCAAGAGTCTTATTTAAATTTCTGAAAGATGTACATGCATATCAAAGGGACAATCACAGATTTTCTCAAAGCAAGGATTCAAGAAAGGGAGAGGGGAAAATATCTTTCCCTTTTTACACCTGGAAAATTTTAACTTTTTAAAAATGAAACAGAGCTCTGACATTGTTTTCTTGCAGAATTAACAATCTTTTTTATTTTCTACCTCTGGGCTCTCTGTTATATGAGATAACCCCAATTGCTTACATAGTTTAGGTATTATGTATCCTATACAAAAGAAAAATCGTCTTCATTGATTTGGCCCCTAATGGCAGAGAAATATGAATTCTCTCCAGCTCTCTTTGATCGGAGTGCAAAGCCTAAACCTGCGGAATGCCAGAAATGTCTACTTCTTCCCCGTTTACCTTTAAAATGATATATACTTTACATTTGAATCCATAATATACCCACATTTGTTTTAATTGTTTTTCCTTACCTGTTGCCCTCCAAAAACAACTTTAAAATTTGAGAGATGTCAGGAAGGGCAGAGGAAGCAGATCTTTTGGGGAGGCTGAAAATTATTGTGTGTTTGATTGCATGATCTTTTAGAATATAATCGCCAATGAGTATCTTCAACTTAATTTGATATATTTTTAAAATAAAAAAATTCTATTCCAAAAGACATTATTTAGACATTAGAATTATAAATGAAATTGAAAGTTAGAATAAATTATTTTTCAGATAATAGAGATTTTTCTTATGAGTTACTTACAAGCTTCAGTGCAAGCCTTTTTAGAGTTATAACATCTATTCATAACACACTGAACATTACCACAGGTAGTTGTAAAAAATAATAAACAAGTTATCAAGGCTTAAAGGACTTACGTAAGAGCACATTAACATGGTGCATGGTTTTTATAGCCTTACCAGTTCTCTATAGACCCTCATGTCTCCTCGACTCTGGTTAACTTTTCTTTTAAAACTTCTCTAATTTGTTAACACCAGCACTTATATTGAGACAACTTGTGATGCCACCATGTCTTTTGAATGTCTTGGTCTTTACATGAGAGAAAGATAAAAGAGATGTATGTGAACAGCATTCAGAAATAGCTCTAAAGCATATGCTAGAACTGAAAACATCCTGTAAAACGGAGGTGTATAAAAGCACCTTTTCATATACCTACTACAGGCTTTTGTCAGTGTCATTTGTCACCTATAGTTTTAAAAAATCTTTGCAACAGAAAAAAAACAAGTAGTCTCATAGTTAATTTAGATTGTAGACTTTTCTCAATTTTCACAGCAAAGATTATGCTTCTCTAATTGTTTTATTTTTAAAATGCAGGTCAAATATCTTAAGTGGAAATTAGTAATAGTATATCATGTCATAGACACCTTCTGAATGTGCAATCCAAGGTTTAAAAGAGATTTAGCTGTATTACTTTAGTTTCAAACATTGATTTTTTAATAAATTTTTACATTATAATAAAGTATATAGGCTTGGACATATATAAAGTCTGCTTTCAGCTCCTGTTTCTAGGCATTATTTGCTTCTCCAACGAGTGATTAGTCTTGTTTCAGACCCCCAGGACCAAGCAGCAGTGCTAAGGTTCAGGAATGTCCTAGAGGGCAAGGAAGGAGGTGGCCTTCCTTTCCTAAGGCTGCTCCAGGACAATACCATGAGCTTAGTAGCTTCAAATGACAGCAGTTTATCTTCACCGGAATTCCAAATTCAGAGGCCTTCAACGGCGTTCCTTGGCGTGAAGCCGGGTAACTTCCATCTTTGCCTCTGTCTTCACAGGGCCTTCTTCCTTCCTGGTGTGTCTCTGGGCCCAAGTCTCCCTGTCCTTTCTCTTATAAAGACACCAGTTGTTGTATTTAGGGTCCACCTTAATTAAGGTTAAAGAGTGCTTTAAAAATACTGGTGATATCACTCTCTGTTATCTGGAACTTTCACATTCATCATCTTACTGGTTTTCATAACATTTGTTTACACGAAGTAATTTCATAGCCTCCCCAGTGGAAAGAAATCATTTTGTAGGAAACTTGAATTTTCTTCTCTCTACTCCTTCATTCACTCCTTCCCCCGGCGGTGAGATGAGGATGTTCCCGACATTCTTTAACCCACATGTCTCCTGGGCATGCTTATACCCAGCACACCAAGAGCTTGCCCTTGTGGTCTCTTCACAGTACGAGACCGAGCAGTGTCTCTTGTGTCCCACCAAGTTTGTGTTTTTAGTTCCAACTTACTTGCTGCAACCTGGTAAATAAATCAGAGTCAAGCAGGTCTAGGGCTGAAGAGTGAGGCAGGAAGCTCACTGCTCTCATTCCAGCTCTACCAGGCATAAAGCTGCTCTGGGATTCCCATTCACCTCAGTGTTGTATGTTTTTACTTTCTCATCCAGAACTGTAGCAGTAATCAGAAAAGATAATTAATATGCCTGTTTTCAAAACAAATTCTTCACCAAGGCTTTGTAAGGCCCAGCTAGTTATTACTAAGATCAGGAGTTAGAACCCTGGTTGCCTGACTCTAAAGGGATTGGCCTTTTATGTTCACTTTGATGACCCACCAATAGAATTCAGATGAAAGCTTTTCCAACATTATAGGTAAGACTCTTATCATGACACATTTGTAAATGTTCATGGGGCTACTGTGGCTTGCAGTCTTGAGAGGTCAGGATCCTTACCTTCACACAAACGGTGCTATTCCTATTAAGAGTGATAAAATAAACTAAGCCTCCCATAAACCTATAATGTTTCTGAAACCTTTATTTAACAACTTGCCATACCCATTCCAATGACTGAAAAACTACGATGATTCATGTATTAAGAGAAATGGTACAAAAGTCTGTGCTCTGTACAAATGCTTAATTTGTTTCCTTCAGTATTAGTAAATATGAATTAATTTCTAGTTCTGTGAGCCCTATACATTGGCAAAATATATGATTGACATTATGTGATTTTTAAAAGAATATCTTTGAGAAGAACAAAATCATGGACTTGCAGCACATTGGATGGAGCTGGAGACCATCATCCTACGTGACCTGGCACAGAAACAAAGAACTGAAGACCACATGTCCTCTCTCAAAAGCAGGCCCTGAGCGTCAGTCACACGAGCACAGGGGAGGGATCGGCAGTCTGGTCCCAGGGCGCTGCCAGGGGAGGAAGGGAAGGAGGAAGGCAGGGGGCCCTGACAACATAAAGGGTGCCTGGTCCTGTGCGAGGTGGGGTGAGAGCCAGTTAGAAGCCCCAACTTCTCTTGTTGCACCCTGTATCGCTATAGTAGAATTTGATAAAAGCAAATAATGCCTCTGAAAAATTACAAAATGGTTTCTCTTATGTCATTTTATAGCAGGTATTTCATGTGCCTCAGACAAGTATGTGGGATTTTTAAAGAAAATTACTCTAGTAGGTCTAACTGTTGATCTTTCTGGATCTTCTCACGTACTAGTCTGGAACGTGCTGCTTGTGTGCTTTGAGTCATTTGAGTGAGGCTCGTTTCTGTGAGGCTTTCTACTCCGGCTGCTCAGAATACGTTACTGGTTTTCTCTGCCGTAACTGATCTGCTTGTTGAATTCTCACGAAGCTCACTCCTCTCCTTTTTCTTTTCAGATATTTGTATCTGCTCTTCTCCGGTGACGACCTTTTACCTTTAGACCACTGGGTGTTTAACACAGAGGCTCACCCTCTGCCTGTGTTACGTTTAGCCAACACCACACTTTCAGGTAATCCTGCTGTTCGATGAAGGCAGCTCCAGAAGGACCGTTCTCACCTGTGTTTTGTTTACATGGACCACGGCAGAAATTGGTCTGGAGAGGTGGCTTTTGAAAACCTGGACCTCTGAGTCAACATGACGGGCTGAAACTATTCCCTGTTAAGACTTTTCAACTTGTAGATCAATCAACTTTGAAATTATTCCATTTTATACCTGACCAAAACATGTCCTGTTATGTTTAGGACAGAGACCTGATGTGCTTGGATTCTTCATGAGGTGGTCACATGAGACATGATGCCTGTCACTACCATATTGTTTTTAGAGTCCTGGAGTCTGGAGGCTAGACTTCCTCAGAGCAAGCCAAGAAGAGCGCCTGCCAGGGGTTAAGGTGGCCTTTGGAACCAATTCTGTATTTGTTTCCTCCTAGAGTGGAGCAGCTTTCAAATCAAATATTTACACATTGTTTATCCCTTTTTCCCCCCATTTTAATAATGGAATGAACTGAGATCAACAAGAGCAAAAGGATAGTGTAACCACATCAATGAGAAGAAGACTCAAGAAAGAAACAGAAGTACCTACCCTGTCTGAATTTTCAAGTTCCCCCTTGGGCGACCAGACTGGCAAAGATTTCAAATTCCAATCTACTTCACTGAAATTTCTTGGTTAAATTTAGTTTTCTCTGGGGGCATGATCTTAGAAAGAATGCTCTTCAAGTCTTTGTCTCCATATGGAATCATTAAAACTGCTCTTTATCATAAGCACTTCTTATGAGCCTGGGTTTGGGATTTTGTGCATGTAGTTCAGTCTAGTGTTGGTAGCATGACAAAAAGTGGGGGAAATGCCGCAGTTTGTTGCCTTGAAATCTGTTCTAGGAGAAATACTTGGTTTTGTTGGTAGGAGATTATTTTTCTGAACCAATAAATCTACCAAGTAAATTTTATCCACTTTAATCTCATAAAAAAGTTAGTAGGCTCATTCAACTTACAACTTTATTTATGTGGCTTGGCAAAATTCACCATACTATTATGCAACTCTGGATTTCCTTGATAAGCTAAATTACTTTTATAATTTATTACAGAAAAAAAAACACAGTGAAACTTTTAGACTATTGTATCTGGAATGGGTAATATGGAATCCTTTATTTATTATGGCGTCAAGTGAGTGAGCGGTTCACAAATATCTGTTTTTTATTTTCTCCAAGGATATTTATAGAAATCCAAATAATCTGAATAACTTCAAAATAATTTTCAGTAATTAAAGTGTGGTATAATTAACCATATTATACTAAAATTGGGGTACGCTAAGGGACTTTCTCTTACCATGAAGTTTTTTTTTTTTTTTTTTTAAAGAAAATTACTTTTCCAAAGAAATTACTAGTTCTGTATATTTTGGCAGAAAGAACTTAAATTTTATTAAAAAAAACTATAATGTAAAATGAATATGTAATACTTATAAATTTTCTGTCCCTTGAATTTATGTGACAGTGCAAGACAGTTTTTTCTTCTTTTCACTTAATTTAGACAGCTTCTGCTGACATTAATAAAAGTTGGAAACATTATAATTAGTACAGTGTTTACTCTGAATTTGAAGATTTCATGAAACAACATTTGTACAAGGAGCCTACCTTGGAATTCTAGAGGCTTATTTCCTTATTTGGTAACTTTTTTTAGCTTAGCTTTCAGATTGAAGGTTGGGAAAAGAGTTAATAATTTAATATAATTAAATGTTTTCTAAGGTTGTGAATCGTATGCCGCAAGTCATCAAACAATTCCCATAGTTCAGCCAATGAACTGTAAGTGATAGCCATTCCCAAGTATTTCAGTATACGTAGAAAATAAGGATATAGAGCCAGTTGCAATGAAGTCCTTAAGAGAGTTAAACTTTAGCATATATTTTGAAATTGTAATACCTTGTACTACTCGGACATTTAAAATTTTGAAATGTAAAAGGTAGATGATTAATCTTAGACAAGAAAAGGGAAAGTACTTGGTTCTTTAAAAAAAGTTAGTCTTTCTCCTAAAAATAGCACAAGCTCATTTATAAATCACTAAAAAAGCGAAAAACTTGAGTTGCAAAGACCCAGGGCAGCTGTGCACATAGCAATGAACTCTCTGAACTCTTTCTCTCTCTCACGTTGTTTAGAAAAATGCAGAGTAAAGGGCCTGTCTCAGTTCCCCAGGAACTTCAAGGGATGAGGAGACAAAGCCCCTGCCCCCAAGTACTCTGTCTGTATTGCTTAGATGACTAGGGCATAAGAGAAGGCAGGGAAGTATATGAGCAAAGACAGTTCTTGTATAAGCGAAAAACTTGAGAGGGACAGCAGAAGGGTCTTCTTCAGCACTCCCTGCCTTCTATGTGATGGTAAGACTAGAGCTTATAACAGTACTTCCATTTTTTTCTTCTCTGAATACCAAAGGCGATTAAAGTCAGCTACAAACGACTTGCCAGTGTCGGGTTTAATTTTTGTTAGAGACTTTTTAATTATTTTGGCCCAAATCAATCATCATCCCATGTTCTGCCTAGTTTCCAAGAAGATTCTTCACTTTCTTTTGTAAAGCCCCTTGTATTTCGTAGACCTCATTACTCAGGTTAAATACGCATTGCATTTATAAGACCTTCTGCAGAGAGCCTGGAAACACACTTTTCCAGGTGCCTCCATGAGGTGGTGCATAATGAATGTTCAACACCCTCCACCTTCTACGTTTATCTCCCTTCATTTTAGAGTTACACTCTTTGGTTTAAACCAGATTTTTTTTTTTAATTCAACCAGTGTGAAGTTGTTGAAACCAAGAGAATGGGACCCTACCCCAAAAGAAGTTTCAGTATTGAAAAATCAGTCTCCAGACTTTCTGGTGGGTTGCACATTTTATGTTTCTCTGCTACCAACTTGCTCCTTCCTTGAAGCAGATTTTTTTATGTAAAAGTAAGACCTGTGTGTTGAAGGAATGCGTTCTTTTTGTGGAGTGCCGACTCTGATTCTCTCTGATGTCATCCAGGCCCACCCGGGGCTTCGCTTGGTAGATTTTAGCCGAGCAGGTTGAGATCTTGATAATCATGCTCTCGTCTTCTACACTCTCCATTGCCAAAGCCTTTGTCAAAACTCAAGCTTGTTGGTGAAAGATTGTGCTTCCATTCTCATTATAACGCAGTTTCTCCTTCAGCCTGGATGTTTTGAACGAGTGCATGAGTAAATGAGAGAATGAGTGAGCAGACATTTGTGGAGCACCTAATATGTGCCTGGCACTTTCAAGCATTAGAACATGGTTCCAGTGGCATTTTCTGTATGAGAGGAGTTCCTACCATTTTAAATGTTTTCCAATGTGGATTGTGTTGCAAAATCTTTAATTTTCTATTTCATATAATTAAAGAGGAAAATAAAAGGTTTATAATATATTTTAAACAATGTGTTACTAAATAATACTAACAACTATAACTGTAGTTAAATAACTAAAGTCTCTTGAAAATATCAAAGAAATATTTGATTTCTGATGCAACTTTGACTAAAATATTTACTTTAGAAATAAAAACATTCTTATTTTGCTACATCACTTTAATTACATAATTAAAAATCAGTGTTTTATAGAAGTGCTGGTTATTTTATATTCAAAAGTTTTTGTTACATAATTCATGGGTAAAACTTGCAGTTATAAATTGTCTTTATTGTGGAATGGGTCCTACTAATAGTCCCATACTGTTAAATATATATATATATAAAATACTAAACTATTTTAAGTTACAAATAACAGATCCTAGTAGTAGTATTTTGAGTTTTCTTTAGATTTCTTTACACTCAAATTGGCTAGCTCCTAATCATCCACTCTTTATATAAATATATACATAAGTACAGTTATACACAGAGAAGTTTTTAATACTGTCTGTTTGTTAATAAACACAGTTGGAAGCCAGGCATGGTAGTGTGCGCCTGTAGTTCCATCTACTTGGAAGGCTGAGGCAGAAGGATAGCCTGAGCCCAGCAGGTCGAGGCTGCGGTGGCCGTGAGAATGCCACTGCACTCCAATCTGGGTTATAGAGTGAGACTCTAACTCAAAAAGATAAAATAAAAGAAAAAATAAACGCAGTTGGTAACTGGTTTTGGTTACACAAATTATAAGCATTATACTTGAGAACCCACATATGGTGCCAAGATATTTTAATCCATTTACTCTGGCTCAACAACCTCAGTGAAGGTGATTTTCTGTGATTTGAGGTCATTCAGGTCATGATGGAGATGGTTTTTTTGATCTGTTACTGGTCAAGCTTTTCTGTAAAGGGCTAGATAATAAACGCAAGCTATGCAGTCTTTCTTATTACTTCTGCTATTGAAGTGTGAAAACAGCTATAGATAATATGTAAATGAATGGGTGTAGTAGCTGTGTTCCAATAAAACTTTATCTACAAAAACAAATGGAGGACTGGGTTTGGCCCACGGGTCATAGATGTTGACCCAAATCCCAAGTTTAATTTGTGTAAGACCCTCTAACCTTCGCGCCTTTTCTCTATGTTTTGATTTACATAGTTCATTTTTAAAGCAAAAAGATGTGTGTATGTATGATTGTATGTATTTGTTTAACTGAAAACGTTATGTTTTATTGTCTCTGTAAAGAAGAGTCACTCTTCCTAGAGTCTGTTCAGGTTTCAGAATGATATGACTCTCATGAAAGAGGCAGAATGGGGTGATGTAGGTGGGCATGCTTTCAGCCATTATCTCCGCCTTGTCATTTAATGCCATAATTTCAGATTCCCTGTGTAAAAGGAAGGTCTGTATGCTGTCAAAACATTCTCCAAGTTCTGCCAGCTCCTTGACCCTTGGACCGGACTCTGGATTGCTGGAGCTGCAGAAATTCCTCCACTTGGGTACTCAGAGAGCTCTATGACAAGAATAAGACAGAGTTTTGATCTTTGTGCTGCAAAAGCCAATCTTTGGAAGACATCTAAGCAACGAAGTGGGTTGTGTGCTCATTTGCTGTTTGGCAGTCATTGTTCTTTAGACCGCAGGAGGGTCCTGCCCGTGTTACCTCTAGAACAGCCTAAGTCTACAAAGTGCAGAAAAAAGATGTGTCCTAAAGGAAAGTTCTCTTTTCTTCATAACTCTCACTTTTTTTTTACAATTCAGTGGCATTATTTTAGAATTTCAATATGCATCGTTTGTCAGTTAAAGCATACCTCAACCTTATGTTGCCACTATGGAATGACGAGTCCATCTCAAACTTGGTTTGAGCCCAGCAATGGCTGAACCCATAAAATTGCTCATGAAATCACACAACACCATATTACCAGCGTATACATTTTAGTGTCCCAATCATTCTGGCAGATAATAGACTTATTTCTCTAGTAAGTTTATCAAATATTTCACTATTTTTGGAAATTCTAGAGGAGAAGAAGCCTGTATTCAGAATGGGAGCAAAGATTTATTGTCTCTCTTCCACATTATAAATGAGCAGCCTTTCTAGGTCCAACATGCTGTAAGGTTGCTTCAGCTTAGTGTGAATGTAAGTGTGGGTGCTTATACCCCCATATATAGATAGTAAAATGCAGAGGATTTTAAACAGTTGCACATGTCTTGCAGCTATTTGAATGCTGCAGAATTCTACTGTTTAAGTTGCACACTAGAAAACTTCATGGAGATAAGCTCAGCTCTTTGTTGGGAAAAAATATTTTTAAAGAAAATTTAGAAGTTCACTTTTGCTGAGTTAAATAAAGTATCCTCAGTTCTAATTACTGGATTTGGAAATTGACATGCCGTTCTTTAATTCCACTGGTCTCAAATTCACTGATAAAAATTTTTCCCTAAGCTAGAAGCTGGGGTAAGTGTAACCTCCTATATTGGTACCCACTGGCTGCTCCGGAACTGGTTTCTAGTCGTGTCCTTTAGTATGTGATTTTTACGAATTGAAGGTAATAGTGTATATTACAGATCAAATAAAGATGTTCTTTAAGTGAAAAATCTTTGCTGATCATTTTTACCTACCGATGACAGTTCATTCCCTTCCTACTTACAAAGGAGCCACTTTGGCTTTTACAGTAACTGGTAGTCTTGAGTCTCTCGGTCAGTGTATTTATTGGCATCAGCCAATCTTGACATTTCTTGATGTTTTAGAAAGATAAAGAACTTGCTTAAAGGGTAATTTTTATTCCGACTGGTTTTAGGTAGTCAAACGATAGACCTGTGTAACCGTCTTCAGGTCTTGCTGTGCATGTTGTCCCTGCGACCTAGTCCACGTCTGAGATCATCAAGCTTAAAAATTGCCTCAATCCCTGGGTTCATTCTGTCACATTAACATCTGACCTGACCCTTTGTAAGTGATTCTTGTCAAAATAGGCCTGAAGGGCCTGGACACTAGGATCGGCTGGATGGCAGCAGTGATTTAGTCTGTCAACCACAGACAAGCACAGGATGTTTACAGCCCTGTACCTACTGAGCGTCAAAGCCTGAAGGAACAGCCAGTTTACAGCCCTGAGGTGTAATGGCACAGTGGATTTCAACTTGATCAAAAGTTCAGACTCAGAAATTACATTGTGAATGAATAAAAACTATAGACACATTTTTAGAAGCAACTAAAACAGGACCAGATAAAAATAAGGAGCTCTGTGTTGCTACCAGGTGATAAAATCTAGGCTAATTGTCTGCCAAATACCTGAAACTTCCATCTCATTGGGTTGCAAAGGAACCATCCAGTATGCAAGTAGCAAGGTTCAGGATGGTTTTCGCTAGTGACTGAGCCCTCCGCTTTACCTCTTGGCTAACCTAACCCAAGTTTCCTTGAAAAAATTTTTGTGGCAAGATGTATATAACACAATTTGCTATTTTCACCATTTATAAGGGTACAGTTAGTGGCATTAACATTAACGGGCCAGGCACAGTGGCTCACGCCTATAATCCCAGCACTTGGGGAGGCCGAGGTGAGAGGATGTCCCGAGCCCACAGGCTCAGGACCAGCCCAGACAACTTGGGGAGACCTCATCTCTACGATAAGTTTAAAAAAAATTAGCCAGGCATGGTGGCGTGTGCCTGTAGTCCCGGCTACTTGGAAGGCTGCAGCGGAAGGTTCACCTGAGCCCAGCAGGTCGAGGCTGCGTGGCTGGGAGCGTGCCACCGCGCTCCAGCCCAGGTGACAGAGTGAGGCTCCAACTCAAAAAAAAATTTTTTAACTACATTAACAATGTTAGGCAACTATCACCACTACACAGTCCCAAGCTTTTTTGTCGTTCCAAATAGGAACTTTGTAAGCATCGAGCAGTAATTTCCATCGCTCCCCTTCCTCCCCCAAACCCTGGCAACCTCTAACTTACTTGCTAGGATAAATTTCTTAACCCCACTAAATCTCAGTTTTCTTGCCTCTAAGAGGGGGGATAATACTGGATTTTTAGAAGAATTAAGTGAGAAAAATCTCTGTACCTAGCCCAGATTAAGCTTAGAACTTTAGTTGTTTCCAATCATTTTCTTTTTTTTTTTAGATTGAAAAATATAGTTTATTTAGAAATAGAGGAGATTTGCCTCCCCAAGGTAGGGGAGGAGGCCAAAGCTAGGAAACATGGTGGCCATAACTCAGAGTCACGTGGACACATCAGAGTTTAACATAGCAATGGCCTGTTTTAAAATATTTTCGTTAGCAACAGATTGGAGTAATCAGTTCTAAAGCAACAGAAAAAATGAGAAGGGGAAGTACAATTAGAACAGGGTGGTGAAGCCAAGAAAACTGAAGAGGGTAAAAATGAAGACATTAGATGATCTTTCAAGTAGTCTCTGCGTTATCATTTTCGAATTTTTGTTATAAAACAGGGTTTAGGACACGCAAGTACGTTGATAATGCATACAAGCCAAGCAGTTTAAAAACTATAGCAGGAGCCACTTTTTGTTAGACACACAGCAAAAGTTCATACTCAAGGTTAGTAGGAGTTATCTGTGTGTGGTAAGGCCCATCGTACGCGTATGATTTTCAGTAAGTTTATAAAGTTTATAAAGCTGTACAGCACAAGCCACACACATCCTGCATATGTCCATTTGCAATCAATCTCCGTGTCCATCCCAGTCCCTGGCAACCCCTGGTTGCCTTTTCTGGACATTTCATGTTAATGGAATCATACAATATGTGGTCTTTTTACATCTGGCTTCTCTAGCCTCGCGTAATGTTTAGTTTCCAAGGTTTGTCAACGTTGCAGCAACTATATTCCTGTTGATTGCTGAAAATATTTCATTGCATGGATATGCCGTACTCGTTTATCCATTTGCTAATCGATGGACATTTGGGCTGTTTCTACTTGTTGGCTATCATGAGTAATGCTGTTTTGAATATTTGCATGCAAGTCTTTGTGTGGACATATGTTTTCATTTTTCTTGGTATATACCTAGGAGTAGAATTGCTGAGTTGTATGGTAAAATTATGCATAACTTTTAAAGAAACTACACACCATCTTCCAGAATGAATGTTTTTACATTCCTTCTAGCAATGTATGAGAGTGAGGGTACCAGTTTTTCCATGGTGCCACCAAGCTTTGTTATTGTTTTTTTGTCTGCCTTTTTTATTATGGCCACTTTAGCGGTTGTGAAGTTGTATCTCATTGTGGTTTTAATTTGCATTTCTCCAATGACTAGTGATGTTGACCATCTGTGCTATTAGCCATGCATTCTTCGGTGAGATGTCTATTCCAACATTTTGCCCATTTGAAAAATCGAATTGTCTTATTGAGTTGTAAGAGTTCTTTATTTATTCTGTATTTATTTTCCCTTAAGATTG